ATGATGAAGCATCTGATATCTGAGGCTATAGATGGAGAATGCCTTGTTGCTCATGGTGTTTTTGGAAGGGAAAGATAGAAGTCTAAGTTCAGTAATCAGATTTGTAACTTCTGCAAGAAGATGGGGTACATTAAGAAGGATTGCTACAAATTGCAGAATAAAAGAAGGTTGGCTGCAAGACGATATGAGAAACATTCAGAGATTTAGGGTAAAGCAGACTTCACTGCGAATATTGTAAGTGAGGGAGATCTCTTGGCTATTTCTGACATCGAGTCTAAACTAGAGGAGGATTTAATTCTGGATTCAATGTGTGTTTCATATGTGTCATAATAAGGACTTTTTTAATACATATGAAACTGTTTTCAAATGTGTCGTGGTTATGAGAAACAACGCACCTTGTCGGGTTGTTGGAATTGGTATGGTTAGATTGACGCTATTGATGGTACAATTAGAACACTTGGCCAAGTTCGACATGTTCCGAATTTGAAAAAGAATCTTATCTCGTTGTCTATTCTTGATTTAAAGGGTTATGAGTTCTTTGATAGTGGTGGAAGTTTGAAGGTTTGTAAGTGTGCCCATGTTGTATTGAAGGGATAAAAAATGTCTCTATTATACATCTTGTAGGGTCGTGCAGAATCAAGAAGAGTCAATCAGCACAGCTTCAGTACCTTGATGGATATTCAGTTTGGTACACCTTTATGAGCTTGTAAATGGTCGGATTTGAAGAATATAGTTCAGTGGAGTTCACGTGATATAGATAATGCCGCTTTATCACCCTCACCTGCGGTGCCATTGTATTCAATTGTTAAGGACGGATCTAGTGAAAAATGTATGTAGATGCTGATTTTGTCGAGCATGCTTTCAATATAATAGAAGGTGTACAATCTAGTAAGGGGCATTTTTTAAAAATATTTGAGTTTGATTATGCTCTGAGGTGTGTTACAGCCAAATTTGGTGAATTTTAAAATTATTATGATTTTTGAGAATTTGAGGTAATTTTACAGATTAGTACTTGGATTTCATTAGAAGAGATGGAGTATTTTGTGTTTGGTTAGAGAAATTGGTTTTGGTTGTTGTTGAAAAGTCAGTTCATTCCTTGCAGATGGATTTTCTTCTCTAGGAGAATATTTTGGAGCTTTGTGCGTGTCAAGGTAGAGATTGTTAGAATTTGGGTGTGACCCGATTCCTTGTTTGAAGTACTGAAGAATTCTAATTGAAGTGCCCATCATGAAGAATTCAAATTTAGATTATTGGAATCCTATGTCAAGTTGAAGTTATATTTTAGAAGTCCATTGGTAGTTGGAATTTGTTTTGGACTCAATTTTTGGTATCCTACTTCATCAACAACTCTACTAAGAGGGTTTGGATGTCCCTTACATGTTTCCTATAAATACTGACTCTTCTATACAATTTTAGAGGTGTGAGAAAATAGATTACTAGAATTATAGGGTATATTGTAATTTTTCTCTCTTCTCCATTATTCTTGAGTCAATAAAATCTCTTAATTCATCTGCCTTATTCTTGTCTTTATTATTCATTTACTTGATCATATATTTCATTATTATTTGTCATATAACTTCAACATCTCTATTCTGTGGTTTGTTTCACAACAATTGGTATCTGAGCTATTCTGATATCTTATTTATCTTACAACAATTGGTATCAGAGCATTCTGATATCTTGTTTGTTTTACAACAATCCTTGTTTAGGCGAATCCAAATTGATCTTCACTTCAATGTTTTTCCATTTTTATATGGTTGATATGTTCCGTCAATTTCCCAATAGATTACATTCAATATTATCCTATTTGTCGAAACAAAAATTGATGATTCAATGTGAAATTGAATGGACTTAAAAACATGGATGTATTCGATTTTGCATTAATCGATGTCTAATTGAGATTGAAGGATATTGTATAACAGTCGAGAATTGATCGACTCGACTGGAAAGATATATGTTACGACGATGAATATATACACATAATTCTAATGAGTTAATCTAATTGTATCTTTTATTCAGATATTTGATTAACTCAAAAATCAATTTTGACAGCAATCTACTTGCCAAAGAAAATAGACTGGTTTAAATCGTAAGATTGAATTATTTTCTTTTTTTGTTTGGTGTGTTAAAATAGACTGGCTTAAATCTTGTGATAACTATCAGTGACAAGTCCATGGAGGATCATATCGACAAGCCAACTGCTAATGAAGTAAGATCAAAATGGAAAATATTGAAATATCATTTGGAGGCTGTTGCTTCTGCTGCAGTTTCTAAAGGATGAGATTGATCGGATGAACATCGAAAATCAACAGCAAATAAGAGATATTCTAAACCAGATAAACGACGAATGTTGTAATATACGGAGGCACATTAACACACTTATACAACATGTAAAATCACAGTACAGGAAAGAGATCTTGTAAAGTTGGCACAACGATGCTATTAACCCGGTTAACCGATTCATTGGTCTGTTATGGTGTAAAATCGTGTTTTAAATTGGAAAGCCGTGTTTATGCCTAAAATGAATTGATGCTTTAGATGTCACCAAGTATCATCCCCACGACCATTGGATGGAGACCTTTGGGTGACTCATATATATACCATTCTGGGGTTTGAAATGGTGCTCGGTTTGAAATGGTGCTCGCTTTCTGATATTTTCTCTCCTCTCTATGCGTCTTTCGAGTTCAACCTCTCATTCTTCTCTACAAATCAAAACTCTCTTTTGATTTGTTGTTACTCTTTCAAAATTTTGTAATTTTGAGTGATTTCTATTTGAGTAGAGTGTTGTGTTCTTGTGTGAACATTTGATTGTTGAGAGAATGTTGAAATACTGTGATCTTTTGTGGTTACGGTTTGAGTGCCTTAAAACTAGTTGTTCTTACCTTGGTGTTGTCGTTCCATTTGAATGGTGGTTCTTCCAGTGACGGAAGCACTTGTGTACTTTAGGTTATTGCCTTGGCAAAATTAAATGAAGTTTACTTTTACAGTTTTTGTGTTCATTTCTTATTCGTGCATATTTTGTTGATATTGAGCTAATCTTGTTGAACCTCCTCTTAATAGATCTCAATGGCCTATGGATTCAAGAATTCAGACACAAGGACTGAGAGACATGAGAAGTGTACTCAAGAATGGATTCCCTATAAAAAACCAAAACTTGATTCTATAAATGATTTTGATAACCAAGTTGCTCGAGGGATGGAGAGGGCTCTTGTCACAGTTCGAGTCCGATCAGAGGCATCTCTGGTGAGAAAATGATAAGTATCCATATGCATCATCTTAAACATTTTATACTTAAAGAATGAAATTCACCAATGCTGATGTTTTTGGTTAATTAGTCATGAAATTCACGAATTAATTTAGAAAGATACTTCATTATAGAACTCCCATTGCATGTTTAGTACAGTAAATCAGATACTGCATTAAAACAAATTAAAAATTTATCTATTTATTACAATGTATACTGTTGTCTAATATTGCAATCAGAGATTTAGTTAACTATCAAATATCGGTGACAGAGCCAGGACTATCTCTCAGAAGGGGGGCGGAAAAATATTGAAGGTACGAAATATACATATTGAACATCTAAAAATTACTACATAGATTTTTTAAAAATTCAAAATGTTGTAGGGACGGTCACAACTCGCTACTCCATGTGGCTCCGCCTATGCCAAATATGATTATGTGCTTCAACTTAATCTATGTATATACAGATCGCTGATGGATGCCAATGGAGAAAATACGAACTAAACCCATTCCCTCGAGCTTATTACCGCTGCACCATGGCAATTGGTTATCGAGATCTCAAACAAGTACTCGTTCTCTTTTGAATAATAGTTTAAACTTTTAGATGAGAAAAAAATTATTTAGGGTTAGAAAGACATCAAATATGTGAAAATTAAGTCATTTGTGTTGACAGGTACAAAGGTGCATTGACGACCAATCAGTACTTAGTACTTACAACCACTTAACATTCAATTTTAGATAGCCAAAGGGACTTTAATTTATTTCAACTTCATCACCTGACTTCATAAAATATTTCAGTTAATTCACCAAAGTCACTTAGACATCATTCTTAATAGAATCATTTATGTATCTTGATGGTGTGACAATGTGATATTACATACTTATAATCAACCGTTAAAAAGAAAAAAAAAACAACTTATTTTTCTAAATGACATAACATAATTCTCAATTAATCGAGTTAAATTTTGAAAATAACTATTCCACTAGGACATTGAATGTCCACCATCGTTAAAAGTCCATTATGAAGGGACAAGATTCACTAAATCATCTAGACATTCATTTTTAATAGAATCATTGATGTATCTTGATGGTGTGACAACGTGATATTCTGTACTTATAATCAACCGTTAAAAAGAAAAAAAAATTAACTTATTCTTCTAAATTACATAACATAATTCTCAATCAATCGAGTTAAATTTTGAAAATAACTATTCCACTGGGACATTGAATGTCCACCATAGTTAAAAGTCCATTATGGAGGGACAAGATTCAGTCCAACTCAACATAAGGTCATGTTGATCAAAATCTGTCCGTTCAGTTTGGTTACAAGGCAAGCAAATTAGAAATGCAAAATGACCTTTCGAGACCAAATATCTTAAAAAAGCAAAAGGCAAAAGCATACATGATGATGAACAGCCAACCAAGCCATAAAGCTTGACCATACTTTGCCCCTATCTTGTCCTCATTTTATGTGGGCATGTGGATCCCACCGGTTCAAACCAATTTTTCTTCATGTCTTTCCTCAATCTCGCTTAGGCCGATCTCCATCATTTTTCTCATTCTCATTCTTCTACTAATTTTCAACTACATATTTTTCAATAAAATAATATTTTTCATCACATCAATAACTTTTCATTCTTTTTCAACCACATATTCACCATCACATCAACAGTAAAAATGCATTCTTACTCCCAAAATGTGTACCAAACAGGGTTCTCTCTAAAAACTCTTTTATCTAGATAGAGCACTTTCGAAAAATTATTCAAACATGTTCAAAAATAATTTCTTGATTCATCGACTTTTAACTTGAAAAAAAAAAACTGTCAACCAGATTCTTAGAGCATTTTTAATGTTGGTGTAAAATTGGGTGTAAATTTGTATTTGCAAAACCAATTTTGCATCCTCATTTACATCTCGGTGGATCTAAATTCAAATTTTGTTCTAATAAAAAGATCTACATCCACATCTTTTTTTTTTTTTTACATTTTCTGCTTGAAAATGTAATTTTGCATTTCCTTTACATCTCTTCATTGGAGACGTCTTCGACCAAGTTAAAGATCTAAATCACAATGCAGATCTAATTTATATCACAGTTGGAGATGCTCTTAGTATTCACTTTATCTAACTTTTAATTAAAAAGCGTGCAAGGCCAGGAATGACAAACTTTTTTAATTGCTTGCTTGAATCCTTATTGGGGTCACCGCCCAGGTGCAATGAGCTAAGAGATAGGGTTTCAACTGTTAACTCCTAATGGCTTTTATCCGGGTAGAGATTTGGACGGTCGAGCTTTTTGGATGGATTTTCGAATCTTGTGCTTTTATTATATGGTTTGTTACTTGCAACCTTCTCACCTCAACTTTATCACCCCACTCACCACCTCCGCCGTCTAATTAATTTATGTGATACTATATGATAGATTCAATCAAATGTAAAATTAAGTGATTTACTTAACTGTACTTCTTATTTAACGTCGCCGTAATACTGTCTAAACTACTGTTTTAACACCTTGGTCCTAAATAGAATTACTGTTGTAACACCATTGATTCTAAAGGGTTTTAGGCATTTTTAAAGTAAACGAGAAGATTTGGCCTTGTCGCTATTCTAATAAGTATATCGATTGATTAATACAATAAGGGCGGAGCGAGGGGCAGGTCCGAGCCAAGCCCAATTAATTTTCTTGGGTAAAAATGTAACAATTCGGTATAATTTTTGTTTTTTTGTTCACTTGACAAGTTAAACGATCATTGACAAAGTGTCTAAACCGTAACAAATTTCAAATTCAACAACCAACTTGAAACAAAATAAAATTTTGGTCACTTGTTTAACCCTCATCCTTTTTTGTACGTAAAATTGTTGGAAAAAGAATCAGTAGGTGCATTGAGACGTCCTGATTAAGGTAACGACGTCTCTTTAGTATCTTACTATTTACCCATCCCAAACATTTTATTTAATTTCACTTATCATTTAACCAATCATTTATATCCACATAGATTGGGGATACATTCCCACTAGGAATGAATAATATTTTTCACTGTAAAAAAGTAAATTTGGATAATCGTGGACGTGAAAGGCAGAGAGTCGCGGTGCATGTCACCTAACTCATTTATTAATTAGCTCCAATCTATTTAAAACTGTGCCGTCCATTTTACTACCATTTTTAAATATTAGGAATCCCTTTCTGTCAAGTTGAGTTTCTCACTCGATGCACTTTGACTTTCACTTATAATTAAGAGTAAATTAATTTCTGAAAGTACTAAGCATGTTTTATGACTACATAACAACTAAGCAATGTCCGGCCTTTGCAAAAGTTGAATTTCCATACTTCAAATATATCGATCTCGACCACCTTTGATTTTCATTTGAATTTCCATACTTCAAATATATCGATCTCGACCACCTTTGATTTTCATTTGAATTTCCATACTTTAAATATATCAATCTCCACGATTTTTAGATATTTGACCCCTGTTTGGTTACTAAAAAGCAGTTTTTAGTAGATTTTGATAAAATTAAATGAAATTTGTATTTGAAAAAATGATAAAAATTGTGAGTTCAATGAAATGTAGTCGAAAATAAGTTTATGAAAAAAATTTCTCATTAAAAAACAAGACATTTACTAGGCCCAAAATTGTTTGTGCTGAATTATCTGTTAATTTTTAGCATGATTCTACGAGGTTTGACGTGATTCTTGTTATTTTATACCTAGAGATGGGCTCATTCGTCAACCTTTTTTGCTGTACCCCAATCCTCGTTTTAGTTTCAATTTGCTATTTGTACAGAAATGACGGTCCAGAAGCAGTGCCAGAAAATGAGTTGGAGGGAAACTATTACGTACATTGATGTAAACTATTTTAAACTATCCAATGATAGAGTGTCATGTGACATTACGTAAACATTGATGTACACGTAGGAATGCCTTTATTTTTTCCCTGAAAAGGTCGAAGTTAGTTGAGGTTATAACAGTGTCCTTGGTTAGCGTAATGTTTAAGTACCTGGATAACCAAAAACCGCTTTTAAATCCATGTCCAGTTCCTTGCAAAAGCAGTAAAACGCGCCGCAATGCGTTGAAAGCGCGATTTGATTGGTTGTAGATTACGTATCGCGATGATAGTGGGAGGCACGTGCTCACGTGTCCACATGCGAATGGCTTTATTCACAGCTAAGAAACCCGCCGTACAACCGTCGGCCAAAACTCTAAGCCTCTCATCTTTCGCCACGTGGTTCACTTACGACTTAAGAATTCTCCTCTAACTTCGCCACAGAGAAAAGTTTCCCAATTTATATTTTATATAAAGACAGACGCACAAAACAAAGAATAAAGACAACCCAATAAATTTGAGGGTATCAATTTCAAGATTACAGTATATAAATATACTTTTATACAGACTTCAGCTCTTCAAACTTGATCAATTCTCTTGTAGTTTTCATCTTCAATGGAGTGGATAAGGGGTCCTTTAGTGGGCCGGGGAGCCACTGCCGCAGTGTCTATAGCCACCATGGCCTCAGGTGAGGTCTTCGCCGTGAAGTCTAGTGATCTTTCTTGTTCTAGCTTGTTGCAGAAGGAGAAATCTTTGATTTCTCAGCTTGATTCTCCTTATATTGTCAAGTGTTTGGGTTCTGAAATAACGTTTGAGAATCAAAGGCATGTTTACAATCTGTTCTTGGAGTATGTACCGGGTGGCACACTCTCTGATCAGATTACAAAGCAAGGTGGTTGTTTGGATGAGTTCACGATTCAGTTCTACACGCATCAAATGCTTGAAGGAATGAATTATCTTCACATGAATGGATTGGTGCACTGTGATATCAAGGGTCAGAACGTTTTGATTGGTAAAGATGGTGTTAAGATTGCTGATTTTGGCTGTGCTAAATTGATGCAAGAAGGTGGTGGTTCAGCCAAGTCAGCATTTTCCGGCACTCCGGCTTATATGGCGCCGGAGGTAGCTCGTGGCGAAGAGCAAGGATTTCCAGCTGATATTTGGGCTTTGGGGTGCACAATTATTGAAATGGCAACTGGATCTAATCCATGGCAAGAAATGGAGGACCCTGTATCTGCACTTTACAGAATTGGATATTCCGGTACCTCACCAGAATATCCAAGCTGGTTGTCTGATAGTGCTAAAGAATTGCTCAGCAAGTGTTTGGTGAGAGATCCCAATGAGCGGTGGACGGCCGCCCAGCTTTTAAAGCACCCTTTTTTCGACTCCATGGAGGAGAATTTGGAGGAATTTAAAGAATTCACGAGGAGAACTCCAACTAGTGTGATGGATCAAGGCTTTTGGGATTCATTAGAGTCGACCAATTCTTCTCCGAATCCGACCCACAATTTTTCCTCTCCGAATTCTCCGGCCGACAGGATCCTACGTTTGATTTCATATGAAAATTCAAGTTTACCAGATTGGGCAGAAGGAGGAGACTGGGTGACAGTCAGGTGCAACCAAAATGAAGAAATTTCAAATCCTACATTTTCCAGCTCAATTGAAGAAGAGATTCGAACCTCAATTCTCATTGAGGATTCATTATTATTCAGTGATTATCTTAGGATTATTGAAAATTTTCTTAGCATTGAGTCATTTTCAGTGACAAGTGTTGAGAATGTTAATGATGTTTCTGCATCAACAATTCTTTATTTTCTAAGAATATTAATGGAATTAATTTTTCTCGTTCAAATCACATTTCTTACAAAAGTGGAGACTCGAGTCTTGGTGGAGTCTTGGGTCAGGCATTCAGCAAAGTCAACCATTTTGCCTTTTAGGCATTGGTGTGAAACATAAAAGACTTGAAAAGCCGGCCGTTTTTTATTAAAGAAAAGTTAGGTATATAACGCAACTTGAAATTTATGGGACGGTTGATAATTGATCGGCACACCAAATTTTCGACAAGAGAATTCAAAATCTTGATTTGAATTCACTTTAAATGAATCTTCATCATTCAAATGTTCATTTCTCCATTGGAGATGATGATCCTAAAGCTTGGAATTTAGCAACTTTAGTATGACTTGGTACTTTGTTCAAGAAGCAATTAGAAGACATTTCTACAATATTCTTTAGCTATTTTAATTAGTGGAAATTACAAGAAATGACGATTTTCACATTGTCATTTGTAAAAATGTCTAAAATTTATTCAATATTCATTTTACAATATTTTGACCAAAATACCATTGTTAACAATTTATAATTCCATGCTAAAGGCAAAAATGTGCATAACATGTCCCATTTATTTCAAAAGTACACATGCCAAATCACAATAAATACTATATTTCTCATTAACACATGTATTAAATATCGAAAACTACATTTCAAATGTCAAGAGCTTTATGAAATGTAGAAAGCTCTCAGCTTTGAAATGAAATCTCGTTATAGACATATGAAGTATCAAGATAAATAAAGTTCAAATATCGATAATAATTTTTAAAATGTCGAGAATGTCATTTTAATGTAGTTTATAATTGAAGCTACTTATTCTTTTCGAAATTCGTGACAAATTGGAAAAAAAAATGCTTCATTTTTCAGTAAGAGTATAATAGACAACTTAGCCCCTGTTTGAGCCACATTCTAACTCTTCTACTTATTTTCAACTACACATTCTTCAATAAAATAATATTTTTCGTCATATCAATAACTCTTCATACTTTTTCAATCACATATTCACCATCACATCACAAAAAAAAATGCATTCTTTCCATTTTAATATGCATCGAACACACCCTTAATATTAAATTTGACCTTTTTTAATTGACAAACATGAAATTTAAAATTCCTCTTTTAAAAAGTTTGAACCACAACGCCAAAGGTGGAGGAGGTGGTGTAAGCTAAAATCTTACAAGTGATTACCTAGAACAAGAAATGACACCTGCCATCGGAATTTCTTGCAAAGAATCCGGCCCCACATTAGGCACCTGCAATTTCCTTCTCGTGATGAAACATGTTAGAACATGAATGAATAGATCAACGTGTTGTGCTTACTGATAACCTAATTGATTTGAAAACTTCAAATAAGTACGGTCTCTTTGACATAGACTAAAAATTTACTTTTGTAATCGTTTGGATAATTTTTTTTATATGTTTTGTCCGATTAATAACTTTTAAAGAAAATTGATCCAAAATAACTTTAAGGGCCTGCTCGGTATAACTTAAAATTTAATTAAAATTGAAAATATAGCCTTTATTGGGTCCCACTCGTCTAATAAAAGTCAACAATAATAGCTAATTTTTCAATTTTAATCTCTACTGAACACGCCCTAAAAAATCTTCTATAAAAAGTAGAAAGACTTGCTTAACAAGACTTCTGAAAAATCCAAATCCACTTTTAAAATGAAGAATGTGCAGCAAAAATTGAAGCTTATCCAAAGAAATCAAAGTAAATAAAAAAAAAATGAATGAAATGTCGAAAATCGAGTTTAAATTTAGTATGTGGCGAATAGTGTGCATCTTTTAGTGAAAACAACAAATGCTAGGGGGTTACACTAGCCACATATGGTACTTCACCTTATCCATATATGTTGACATTTATGACTACCACATTTGGTGCCCCCATATGAATTTGTTCCCACCTTAACCTTTCTTTTTCATTTTTCTCATGTTATATGTTACAAACCATATTGACAATCCCATATGCTTTGTATAAGAATTAGAAGGATATGGCACATGTATACGTAGCATATTTTGTGCTTCATTTATCCACGACTCATTTTTATGTACTTATAAATTAAATCGTTTATAAATTATTCCCAAATGAAATATTTTTTATAATCGCACAAAAAACTTTTGAAGTCTTCGCATTATTCAGGCGGAGATGCACATAGGTAGACGAACATGTAGATATATAAAATTTTAAAAAATAGCATCGAAATTATAAATTTATATATTACCTCTTGATTTTAAATTTTCCCGATCAATTTTTTGAATTTGAAGAATGACTGCTTCATATTTAAGAGAATGAAATATTGATTAGTAATTCTGGAGACGTGTGGTTGAAAAGTAAGGAAAAATTTTGAGTTTATGTGAATAATATTTTATTTTGAGAACGCGTGATTGAAAATGAGTATGAGAAAAAAGAGTTTTGAATGAATGATTACTGAACGTGGGATATTTTATTTACGATAACTTCTTATTATACTATTTATCCAACACTTCTATGGACGGGATATTTTATGCAAATAAGAATTTGGGAATTTTGTAGATGTGTTTGGGAACAAAATGGAATGTTGCACCAAATGAATCATAACCGTTCATTCAAGTTGACAAGTCCTAAATAGGATATGGATAATTTGTATACCAATAAATTGCACGTTGTAAATAGCTCATTTATATGTAATTCGAAGCTACGATCCTAAACTCTGTTGGGCGAACTAAGTTTTTCCTTCCTTGTAGGGATTTTCTAGAGGAGTCGAACTTCAAATTTTCTAGATATGAGTCAAACTTTCAAAGAAGAGGGTGATGGAATGATGGTTTAATGGCGTCGCCTCAAGCTTATATGTCTGGGCGTCTTCCTCACTTTATGATTGAAATGTCATTGCTAAGGGATAAATCTCATATTAGTTAATTATTAAAATATAAATGTTTGAAATACTCCTCTTAATAATATTCATCTTTTAAGTTGGAACCCTAAATTTTAATATAGTATAAGAATCCATTAATCTCCAACGAGTAATTTGATATGATCAACACTAAAAACGAGTATACGAATTTCAAAATTGGTATGTTCAAACGAGATACAATCTTGCGAGGACATGTTAAGGGATAAATCCTATATCGATTAAATACTAAAATATAAATTAGCATTTGTACTGTTTCTCTTAATAATGTTGACATTTTAAGATGAAATCCCAAATCTTAATAGTCCCACCTGCCGTCATCCAATTCAAACTTTGAATCACAACTTTTAGTTGTGGATGTTAATCTGTTACTTCAAATTGCAATTGCGCTGAAACTAGATGAAACTTTGAATTGCAACTTTATTGAAACTAAGACCCTATTTGATAGGCCAAAATTTTCCATGGAAGATGAAAATTATCTCACATTTTTCACATTATTGCTTGTTTGATAAGAAATTTTTTTTTGACAATTCCTTTTCTCACTTGGCCTCATGACCCTTAATTCCACAAAATTGAGGAATTGAAATTCCCATCATTGAGCTAGTTTTTTCTTTTCTTGGTAAGGGAGAAAACATTATTTACACTGTTTAATTTTTAAATCATAATTTTTCTATAAACTATTCAATTTTTGCATTTTCTATTCCCAAAAATTACTTCTTATCGCAAAGTGCGTTATTTTTCTTTACACTATTCAATTTTAAATTTCAACATTTTTCAGGTGAAAAATTATACAAATCGAACGCTATTAATTGAAAATTATCAATAAAACAAGTTCTAAACAATTCAATTCCTTGAAATTTGTTTTTTTCCATCCAAATTTCATTCTTGCAATTAAACGGACCCTAAATGAAGCTTCAAATTGCAACTTCATTGAAAATTTAGATGAAACTTCTAATTGCAACTTCATTGAAATCCGATGAAACTTTGAATTGTAGATGATAATTTGAAATTATTTTCTGAATTTGAATGTGAGAAAATTATGGGATTGTAAGAAATTTTGGGAACACAGAGAAAAATAGAGGTTAACAAAACGAAGTATTAATATGAATTCAAGAAACTAAAAATGTATTTTTGACATTTCAATTAAATTGGGGTAATGTTGAATCACATTTCAAGACTATTCGTATATGTCAGTCTCGTGCACAACAATAAAAGTAAAGACCAAAAACATTTTTTTTTTTTCACTTCCTCACAACATATATTGTTTTACACAACTCAATAACATTTATGCATCAGGCATGTGGGAAACACGTGCCATATCGGTTACCAAAAAAACAACAAAAAAATTATAAAGAATTTGAAAAGTTATATAATGAGTCTCTATAATAATTTATATTTTTGAATGTATTGATAAAACTTTACAACCATGTATACTTGGGGTCGAATCAAATCTCATGAGATGCATCTTTTTTTCATGATGATTGTTTAATTCTAGCTAATTTCAACATGATCATACACATAAGCATGTCAGGTTATATACGTTAAAACATGTTTTTGGCTTCATTAGTGAAATATAGTTTGTGTCAAGCCCATCAATTATTCAAACTCGACTCCAGATTGACCGTCAAGTCAACGCTGAATTGAGCATCGAAGTCAAATTGGATATGATGAATTAATACGGGGACTAAGCATTGGAAGTGTTAATTTATTCGCTTATAAAATATGGATTAAAGTGCTTAAATAAATTGTTAGCTCAAAAAAATATTAAATTTCAAATTTCTTGCACAATATTCTTCTTTATAAATTTGTGATAAAATTATAAGAACGGATTAACCTTATAACATATAAAGATTTGCATCGAAGAAATAAAGGATGAGAAAAGGAAAGAGTCTCATTCATCAACCAAATTAAACTTTTATTAATATGTTTGAATTATTATAAATACCATATCTGCCTCTACCACCCTCTCGTCCTCTTTTAGTACCACCTCCAAACACTCCACAAAATCCTCCTCAAAAACCATAGCCACTCGCTATTCCTCCAACTCCCTCCACCAAACCCTCCACCACCACCAAAGCCAGCTCCACCACCGGCACCCCCGAAACCACCTCCACCGCCAAACCCTCCACCTCCTGAACTCCAAAGTAATAATTGATCATTCAAAGGACCCTCTGCGACGACGATCTTTCTCGCCGTAGTGGTGCAAACAAGAACACCAAGAAAAACCAAGAGAACAAA